AAAACTAAGTTAAATGGGTGAGTGCCTAGGCCCCTTGGAGCCAGCCAAAGGGCGCGACGGGCAGCGCCGACATGGGATGGAGGAGGTTGTGTCCGACAGGAAACGGCCGCAGTAGCATTGGCGGCATCATGCTACCCAGCTCGTTTGGCACGTCGAACCGTCTTCGCTTGGCCACGCTCGGTACAAAAAACTGTGGTGCAATCGGCAGCAAGTCGGCCGGTCGCTTTCGCGCGTCGTTCGTCTTGTCCTCGTCATCATCGTCGTCGTCATCTTCCAGAAGCAGATCAATGTCGTTCTCTGGGAACGGGCACAAGCGCGGCCCCGTCTGCAGCAAATAGGCGGGGCGGTGCGTCAGAAATGCCGGCGTCGGGGCCTTGTTTTGCTTTTGGAGGTATTTTTGCGCGTGCGTCCGGATTTGAACGAGCGTGCGTGTGACGACGAGGTTCGAGATGTGCTTCCACGACTTGCCGTAGCGCTTCAGGCCCTCAAGGAAGAGCTCGTGCTCCTTCTTGGTCCACCGCCCCGTCTGCGTTTCGACACTGGTGCCGCTGGCTTGCACTCGCTCGTCGTCGCCGTCGCCATCGTCTTCGTCGCTGCTTTCCAAAAGCTTCTCGACGCTCGTCTCGGTTGGCTCTCGTTTTGGCGGACTCGAGAGCTCCAGCAAGTCAGTTTTGGGCGAGGCCAGCCCGTGCGGCGAGAAGGCGTGTTGCACCTCGGTGCCCCACTCGACGCCAAAGCAGTCGAGCGCCGGGCAAAACACGATCGGGTCTTCCGCCATGATTTCGCAATGGACGCGTGCGAGATGCAAGCAGCCGTGTGCTAATTTAAGGCACCTAATTATACAGCGCACCATCAACATGGCCACCGTCGGGTAGGTCGCAACTTCAAGCCCCGCGTCCGCCATGTTTGCAAATGTCTCTCTTCTGCAAGCAAACGTCGCCAATGTCCACGGTCGCCTCGCGCAGGACCGCTTACAGCGATCTCCCGCTGCCACGTCATTCCTCGAGTTTGCACTTTACTCGTGTGGTGTCATGGCTCTTTGAAGTTGCACTCGACGAATTGTAGAAGTAGGCAGAGTGGGGTTCAAGTGCAACATCAACAAGAGTGTGTACACTAGGACGCTCCGTCGGGCACGCGCATATCGAAGACCCCAGTGGCCGTCGCCACCTCCCAAAACTCGGCCGGCTCCATGACCCGCGTCTCGTTGATCTTGTCGCGTAGCGCCTTCTTGAAGCGCATCATCTTGACGTGAATATCCGTGAGCTCGGTCGTGAGCGCCGCGCGTCGAGCAGCGTTGGTGTCGCGTTCAATCTTGGTCACGTAAACATTTTCACTCGCGCCGACCATTTTCCTAGTTTACATGAGTCTACGCCGGAGACGACGCATGTACCGGTGGTTGTGGTAGTGTTCGCCGACAGCATCGTTGGCGAGTGCCCAGAGCTCGCGGCGGTTCGCGCGCACCTGCTCCATCTTCTTTTCATACCCGACGCGGCGTCGCATGAGCATGCGCTTGGTGCGCTCGAGGAGCTCGACTTGTCGCTCCATCAAGCACTTTTGCTCCTTCATTGGCAGCGAGTAGAGGCGCGATGCCTACAATATACGTTTCCAGCTTCTTCCTCGCGGCATTCCGCAACACGAACCAGTTGGCCGCGCACGCTCTTGAGGTAGACGTCTTTGGCCTCGAGCACGAGCTTGGCGCGTCTAGAGCGATACGTTGGCAAGCGACAAGTGGAGTCTCGTACTCGATCGCGGCGATGCGACGGCCGAGCTTGCCGCGATAGACGCGCTGGACAAGTAGCGCGGCTTTTGTGAACGCGATGCGCATGTGCTGCGTGAAGCGCCGCGCGAGGAAGCCGCGTGTGATGCGCTCCATCTCGATGGCACCGACCAGCCGTCGGTACGCAAGCCGCCGCGCCCGGTAGACGCAACGCCCACGATGGCCTCGGTAGACTCTAGGCAGCATCAGACGCATTGTCGATACGATATACCGACCTCTGCAAGTCGAGCGTCAGCGCCAGCATGAGCGCGCGTCGCTTTTGATACTGAACCCGACCAAACCAGGCGATTAGGTACCGGCCAATGCAGCGACGCGCCTGGCGTGCGCGCCAAGCGCCGAGCCGCGTAAGGCGCATGCGATGCATGGTTGAGGTCGCCCAGCGCTGAAGCAAACGTGCGGCGCCGCGCCGAAGAAAACGCCGACGATACAAAAGCTCGACCGCGGTCTGTCCCTGGACGGAATACGTGCAATGCTGGATCTTGCGGAAGAGCCGCGCGCGGCGGCGGCCGCAGTGGCCTCGAAAGACCCGCTGGATTAGTCGCGCGGCCACTAGCCAGAATAAGCTACAATGATATCTGATAGTATGAGAGTGTGCACACGGTCGCCTTTGCGCGCGAGACGGAGGGCCGCGATCGCGTTGAAGCGGCGCACCGCCCGGTAGGTGCGAAAGCGTTTCTGGACGCGGCGCACTGCGGCCTTGGCGTGTTGCCAATGACGCATCTCAAAGCGCTGGCGCGCCCATGTTTGCACCCGAACCGCCGCCGCCACAATCTGGTTGCAGTACGATACATACCAGATCCGCGTCTGGTGCATGCGATAGGTGCTCTGGATGCAGACAGCGCTCGCTGTGAAGAGCACACGCCGATGTCGCACGCTTTGGCGCGCAAGGCCGCCGCGCATGACCGCTTGCATCATAATGATTCGCTCGTAGATGAGTCGGACCATGCTGCGAAGTCGCTCGTTGCGGTAGTAGCGACGATACGTGCGCTGGATGCGACGTACGTTGCGCGCAATGGCCTCACAGCTAGCCACGTC